TTCTAGGGCTGTGTTGCCAAAACTGGCCCATTTAAAGATGAGTGGATTTCAACCCCAAGAACCCCCATGTTGGCTGGGAAATCCTGGGAGTTGAAGTCCACTCATCTTAAAGTGGCCAAGTTTGGACAACACTGCCTTAGACTGTAATGATTAGAGATAACAATTTCGAACAATAATTAGCAATTTAGTAGTCCGTAAATTAGTAATTCACTTTAACAATCATGTATTATTAGAAACAATAAGACTTCCAGATGCTAGTTAGTAAACACCCCAGTGGGCAATTCCCCTTGACTCTAGTACATTGCAATACAGGGATACCTGCACAGAGATAAAAAATGCTTTTCCATCTGGGTGTATTGCAAGGGCACTGAGTTCTCTGCCCTGATGTACTCCGTCAACCTACAAATAGATTTTGGAGCATCAAAATGGTCACTCTGCGCTAAGACCTTTCACCCAGAGGCTCATTAAAGGTTGTCCCCTTTGCATCCTTTTGAAGTGAAAATGCAGGGACCGAATTGGGAATGTTTGCACTCACAACAGATGCTTGCTGTATTTTAAGCCTGCCTGCTTTCTCTCTGTAGTATATTTAAGAGCCTTTGGCTATTTGATCATGGTTGCAACAGAGTTTTGGGACAGATAAACCTTCGGGAGTTTGCAGGTCTATTCTATTTCTTAGCGATAATCTGTATCTTCAGGAGATAACATCAAAGAAGAGAGATGAAAAGGAGGTAAATAAAGGGGATGCTACAACCGGTCAGGTGCACAGCCCAAGCACAAAACATTTGGTGTTGCAAGCCCCCCCCCTCCACCTTCAAAAAAAAACTTCAATCAGATTTTTAAAGAATGGTTGGAACTGATTGCTCTTAAAGGATCCTAAATGTTCATCTGGGAGAATGACTCCCTGATTTTCTGAATCAGAATGTTATTTTTAAATATTGTATGTCCCTGCAGACTAATAGAGGAATATTTAAAGCAAACGAGCAAAACGCAGTGTAGGGCTCAGAGGTGAGAAAGAGAAATGAATTATTGCAACCGTCCAGAGGAAAACCAGCTATTAATTTAGAGCAAGCAAGAAAAAACCCCCTGTTTATTAACACCTGCAAACCATCCTGATCAAAGTGATACAATTGGAACAAAGTTTTGTAGTTTGAGGAAGAAGAGTGGAAAAAGTTTGGGAAAGGAAGCAGAATTCCACCAGATCTAAGAGACCCCCTTACCTATAAATAGGACCAAAAGTTTGGAACTTGTCCACCATAATGTTATGAAGGTTGTGGAAACCATCATCCTTCCAGAATTGATATAGATTAAACCAGCTGGTTTTCCAATTTCCTGGCAAATCGCTGAACGGCTTCAGTCCTCTCCCCTGGACAGGAGGTGAACGTATCTCCCTGGCAGCTGTGTGAACTTGGAGAATGCCGGGGCTGGGTGCGTCTTCAGGGCAGAATAGGATCCGCAAATGATTGGAGATGCGCAAAGCAGGAATGAATGGACGGTGCCTGGGCAACATAGCCACACAAAGGAGGAAAAAAATGGGGAAAAAATTAAGGAGGGAGGGAGGTGAGAACTCAGAAATCTGCACTGAAGGCAAAAGTCCTTGAAAATGATATGAGACCTCCAAACTGTGATTCTTATTGTCATGGCATGGTTTGCTCAAGGATGCAGACTGTCCAATACGGTTAGTTCTGAAATCCTAGCCTATCTTCCCATCACATTTTTTAAAACATATAAATATGAGTTCACGCACACACACTCACACACAGATCACAAAGAGACTTGTTACATTTAAAGCTGTATCTCCATGTATGGCATGACTGTATTTGTGAACGCACAGTTTTATTGGCAATATTTTTTTCTCCAATGCAAAAATATATATATATATTTTCAATAGTCCAAATAAATATAGGTTTATTGTGACTCTGCTCTAAGGCAGGCTTCAGCTAGCAAAGCATTGACAAATGCTTGTTCCTTGCTAAATGAGCTCTGTGCTAAAAGATGAAAGCTGTTAGGTTACATTTAAAGCTGGCCTTTATTATAGAATATGAGCTCCATGGAGTTGGGTGCCCAACTAGTCCAACATTCTCCTTGGTGTAAAATCAGCAGTGTTGATTGTCTCTGTCCAATCTCCACTTTAATGACTCCATTGGAGCAAGACCACCATGGGGAATCATCACAGTTGTTCTGGGTCAAACACCAATGCCCCTTTCCCACAATTTCCACCCATCTCTACTAGCCTTGCACTTTTGGTCAAGAGAGGTCAACTCTGTTCAGCATAGCAACCTTTCAGCTATTTAAGACTACAGTCACGTTTCCCCTTTGGGGTCACTGGGGCGTTCACATGGGCATATTTTGCCAAGTCTTTTGTTCTGGTTTGGGTTTTTTGCAGCTTAGAGGGTTGTGTGAACCAGTTCAATGGGTTTGTTTATGATTCAGGGTCTCATGCAAACCCCCCAGATGGGTTCACTCAACGCCATTCCACACGGGACGGCTGTATCATTCTGAGACTGGCCTATCCTTGCATATTTCTCCATAGGGTTTCAGGCCACCTTAACATATCGATCCGATTCGCTTCAGAAGTAACTCCACTGTTTCCTTCTTCTCTGCCTCCAAGGGTTTGACTGATGGAGGAACTGGGACACAGCACCTTTTGTTGACCAAAAGACCTAAGTGTCCAGTAGCATTTGGGGACATATAAGAGACCTTCTTGAGCATGAAACTGAGCAAACTCAGGGAGGCAGTGAAGGACAGGAAGGCCT